TTTACCATTTAAACGTTACAATTTACTCTTTACATGGAAGAAAATACTATTTCAAACAGTAATATTCGCTATGTAAATGTCTAAAATGTTTAAGTATAATAATTAAGAATTTTGACTTTGATATTTATCATTTCGTACCTAAAAAATGATGTTATGATATGTAAAAAGTATAAAATAAAGTTAGTAAATTTCTAATACAAGCAACGTCAATATTTACAAAGTAAAATGGTAAATTTTAAACGCAACGCTAAAAATCAAACTGTAATTATTGACTTGCTTGGACTGGTAAAATGTATATTTTAAAAGTATAATTTTTACTGTTTCAAATGTTAAATTCTCCCAGAGTGAGACCCCCTTCTCTTTCATCCGAGTTCCCCTTCTCCTCATAATATCGACTATATATTGAAATGGCAATTTTTACTGTTTGAAACTGTAATTTTTAAAGATGAAAGAGTCGTTATTTACTATAGTGACAACTATCACTTATTTTGGATATTAAATTATAAATTGTGACTTTTATACTTTCTACATTGATTTCTGTAATATTTATATTTTTGCCACCCCGATGTCCGCTTTACTGTTTGAAACTATAAAACATAACCGGAATCCGAGTGAATATTACAGTTTACTTTTTTCCGTGTATTTTGCGCTTCAATCAACTCAAAATTGTTAATATTTTCATGAAAATCACTAATTTGAACTAATAATTACATCTTTATGCATTAAAAGTAGGGTCAAATACGTTTTACTTTTAAACCTGTGTTCAACTACTGGGTACTTTACCTTATCTAACAAAAATAAAACTTCCAGATGTGACCCAACAACAGAATGGTGGCAAGGAAAGCTCTTCTACGAAATATTCCCAGCATCCTTCCAAGATTCTTCAAAAATCGGCGACGGAATTGGCGACCTCCAGGGTATCAACTCGCGCATCAACTACTTGAAGTCTCTCGGCGTAAAAGCAGTTCGCCTGAATTCAATCTTTCCATCAGAGCACTACCCAGAACACTACTCTAGCATCCAAAGCTTGACTTCCATCGACGAGAACTTGGGCCGTGCTGCAGACTTCGACGAGCTTCTGCAGAATCTTCATCGTAGCGGCATTAAACTAATCCTGGACGTTCCTGTGCGTTACATTCCAGTTCCTGAAACACTGAAGCAAAAGAGTGAGGTGGAAAATTCAACAGGTTCAAAAATTGTAACCCCAAACTTCCAGCGCTACGTCGCTAGTCCAGACAACCAGGTCAACGTGATCTACCAGGTGACTGCAGCTCTGAAATTCTGGCGCTCGAAAAACGTCGACGGGTTCTACCTCAAGGACCTGGAGCACCACGTTAACAACAACTCCAATATTGCTGACGTTCTGAACCTCTGGAGAGACCTTATGGAGGGTGATAGGATCCTCATGTGCCACTGGAAGGTCCTGGAGGCTGCTAAGAGCGAGGATGTTAAAAAAGCTTTGATCCAAAGCATGAACCTGGTGGATTTTACCTTGAATTTCGGGAACGGGACTCTGGAGCTCAAGAAGCAGGTG